GGGAATCTAAATGTAAAGGTAATACTACGCTATCGTCGAGACTTTTAATTAGATCAAAGTATGTTTGAAGTTTAAGTAATATCTGTAATGGTTTATTCATTGCTGTTGTTGACATTTTAGGAAGTCGATGAATTTTAATTTCTGTAGTGTTTCATTGAAATTGAAAATATCACCGGGCTTTGTGCGTAGAATAAAATTACTTATATAGAGAGGTAGTTAAATCAAGTAACAAAAAAAATCTTTATAAATGAAAATAATTAACAAGACGCGAAACACCCATATACCACAACTTAGGAGCTTCATGTTCCATTTTAATTATTATTCGGAGTATCACTGTTGCTGGGATATGCGCCATCATTAACTCCTGTTAATGAAGTCATGTATTTTTTTTTCGGCAGAAGTTCGTAATTTAGCGCTGACAAAAATATCTCTCATGCTACGATTTGATATTACGGCAGTTGCTTTTTCCACAATCTTCCAAATGTTATAAAATATTGTGCTTTTTTAGATCTCTGCTGTGCCACCAAAATTCATAATAGCTGTTGATGGTAACTGGACTAGGACATATTTAACACGAATTTTAAAAATAACCATAATTTTTAATAAAGTAATTATTAGAACATGAAAAAGTAGGTCTCCTGTTTCCGACTGCCTGTTGTTTGTAGGAGATTTTATTGTCGGGCAGATTGTTATAGAACTGCAGATATATATATTTTAACAATATTATGTAAATCGTAAAACTCTAATCAAAACTTATCTGTTCATCCCCACCGAAAATGTTATGACGTTATCTCAAAGTTTTGCTAAATAAATCTTATCTCGAATATGCAAAATAATATCCCACACTGTATCAAGATCTTTAAAAAAATAAGTTATATGAAGTTAAATGATACTGCACTCTATCAACAAATCCACACAGCAAGAAATTACGTGAGAGTAAATCAGGTGTTATTTTTAATGATTAATTATATCAAAACGCATTCACAGGTTACCTCGTGGATCGGAACCCTCACATCACATACAAAAAAAAAAAAAATAAACACATATTCAATCCGGTCAAAGTCAAAATCAGCTGGTTTCGGAAACACTGCGCTTAAGAGTGTCAAGAATAAATATTTAATCCGAGCCGCACAATAATATTAAACCTGCAAGAGAATAATGAGACTTGAGACAAGTTATTAAACCTGTGAGAGCATATTTAAAAAACCTCCCTCGTTCAAGTCCACGAGGGTTTGAAATTAACCGCACTTTTCTCAAAATGGACCAACGTTTTAGGTCGGTTTAAATGCCGTGAATGATTAGCAATTTTCAGTGAGAAATTAGAAATGTGTTACAATGTAATACTTAAGTAAAAACATCCAGAAACCTTTACAACTAAGGTTGATAAACAAAAAAATGAAGCCTGACTAAGTGCATTTTCTAACATGGGGCGTATATGAATAATTTCATGACTGTTAAATTTGAAGAGTTAAAAATTGTAATTTTTATAATCAATAAACAAAAATTGACACCACGTGTCAGCATCGGCGAAACTTCACAGTTCAAATTAGAAAAACATTAATAATTAATTAGGTGGCGTCGCCGTCGGTACGATTACGTTTTCTACCAAACCAAACTGAACTTAATGCTCACCACGTGCTTACACTCACACCGTTACACCAGAAATTTAGAAGTGACGCATCCTCATGCCTTAATTCCCATCGGCAGTCACTAATTTCATAGGACGGGGTACCAAACTAAAGTTGCACATGAATTTTTTAATTTATTCTGCAAATTCAATTTTGAAATTGAATTTTAATTCGAATTGGGGCACCACATTACTACCAAAAATTTTTAATCTACAAAAATTACTAAAAAACACTACCAGGATGCATCCAATTTCATTGATTGACGAAATTTTTCAAAAATATATATTTCTTCAATTTCCACTAGAATAGTGTACTGCACTAATGTTTTGAAACGGCCCCATAAATAAATATCCAAGGGATTTAAGACTGTGTTCGAGCAGGCCATTTCGACTAATCCAGCGATGTTCAAATGTGGAGTAGACCGTATTTGCGAAACAAAGCATGTTTTCGAAAATCATACAAAAAATTGGTGCATGTTTAGTAAACACCCTGTATCTTAGTTCACTCCCGTTTTTAACTTTATACATGTGGGTTACTGGAAACAAATTGAAAGTGGTAAAACAAAATTTTATAGAACTTTTTAGGTTACTGTGAAAATAATACATTACTAATTGATTATATCTATTCATTCCTTCCCAAAACTTGACGTCTTTTCAAAATTTTACAGTCCATCTTATTTAAAATGTCCATAGACACTTAGTTTCTTCATGCACTCCTGTTTTTCCAAATTGTTTATATAGAATATTACTAAAAAGTAATGAAGGGGATAATGTATTTTATTGAATAAATCAAAGGTGACTTATGTCATTCTCCTGATTTTTTTCCAGCTATGATATTTCCTTAGGCGGCAGTCATAATACAATTGTGCCGCCTCGTCTCATCCGAACACTCTTTCTTTACCTAATTAAGTAGTAATACTACGTACTTGTTTACACGCACTTGTTTTAAAGTGGTGACATCCTCTGAACAAGGATCTCACCTCCTACTTGTGACCAGAGTAGCCGCAACCTGTCGATTGCTAGTTCTCTCCACTCTGCGTAAACTAACTGATACCAAATGTTGTGAATCACAACATTTCTATCTGTCTTTCTTCTTTTACGACACCAAACGGAAAAATTCAACTAAATACAAGATCTATTGACACTACCACCAGACAATAGAATACACATTTAATTCGTATATCATGTATTCGTTTTACAGATTCTAAGACTTCTGAAACATATGGGCTCTACCTTGAGACCACAGAAAGTGTACGAGAAAACAAACTCTCTTCTTTTTTCTTTTATTTTATAGTTGTGTATTCTGTTTCAGCAAGACAGGTATGCCACTTCTTGTTAGAGACAACCTCATGCTTTAGTAATCAGTTATATCTAGATCATAAATGCATATATTTTTACACCTGCAACAATATTTCTTTAAACGTCTGCCTAGTTAGACAAAAAAAGAAAAGTATTCGGATGAGAAAACGCGGCACAATTAAACAGGTCAAACGATTTTATGGCGTTCGGCCTTGATTGTGCTAGTCTTCTCAACCGAATACTCGATTCCTAACCCCTCCAACACGGATGATAAGCTCTTCGAATATTGCTGCAGATTTACTTTAAGCTTAATGATAATTAACAGGTTGGGGCGACTTCTGGTGACAAATAGGAGATGAGATCGTTATTCACATCAGAGGATGTGATCACTTTAAACATTGTGCATGAAAACGAGTATGTCCGTTACTACATACCTAGCTAGATAAATAAAGAAAGAGTGTTCGGATGAGAAAACTAGCACAATTAAGATCATAAATCGTTTTATTTCTGTACATTCAAATTTCATTATACACTTGATAAGAAAAAGCCATTTGTACTTTTATTTCCAGACTGCTGGACACGTAAGAAAAATATTGGAATTGAAATTAATTAAGCCATATTTGTTATTGTTCAAAGTTCATGGGCTACGAAAGTGCAGGTCTCTCGTTATCCCATGTCTATCTGTAGACTGCGTGTTTGAGATCTGTTGATGACTTCATTATTAAAAAGATATCGCTGCAATAAATAAATTTGAAGAATAAAACTTTATACTTTATGTATCTCATAATATACTATTAAAAAATTTCAATAGAATCGTAAAAATTATAATAACTGATTCTTTTTTAGAAAATTAACCTCATTAAACAGATTTTAAATAAATATTTCTTGAAATATACACCCTAAAATACGATATTGATTGTAATTCAGGATACCCATTTTTAGAAAATATTTCCAGTTAAACACTTCACGTCAGGTAATATTTATTTTGGCTAAAAATATCCATGAAATGCAACATTTTAAAGAGAACAGGGAATCTGTGTTGTGTAAATACGATTCTTAAATTACCTTATTTTCTTTATGGAGAATGAATTGTATGTTTATAAAAAAAATGGAATACAAAATAATGAACGAAAAAACACTTTTCGATTTTATGACAGAAATGCACACAGAAAATGATTAATTGCACTATTTTAAATAAGCAGATGATGCATTATGAACGATTAATTTACTCCATATGGTCTTAATCACTTTAATAATTTTGTATATTTGCTTGTGTAAAGCGAACGTATCTAGAGAAATATCATTGTTCAATTTATCAATTTTTTTTAATAATTATGCAACCAATATTACGGATATTTGCAGATATCAGCAGTAAATAAGTTTTGGTGTCACCCTGCTTTTTGTAGTTATACAGTTTAACAATTAAAATTCATTGCAGCTGTATTTATTCCATCAGCAGTTGTATCGATGAAAACTGGAATGGCAAACAATTTTTTCACAATTGCTGCGTAAAATACATAGTAGGCAAACTAAAACGCAGAGATAATTTACTCAACAACTTTTTTTACTCATAAATGAAATATCAACGCCAACACTTGCCCAAATTAGTCCATTTACGTTTATTTAATTAACTGTTTTAGCGAAATTACGTCGTTTATGTCTGGAGTTTGGTAATTATTATAATGTAAAAATTTTATAGGTGTTGTCAATTTGTATTTGTGTTGTTATTAGTCTTGAAATGTTATTTACAATCTTGTAAACTTGCACCATAAAATTCCGCACGTTTAGAAACTGGATGAAAAGAAAATGTAACATTTTTATGATGCCAATTAATTTTTATTACGTCGTTGATGCCTACAAAATTTGTTTTCTCACTGGTGTCTAGAAAAATAACAATTAAGGAAATGGATGAAAGAAAACTGGGTAACGAATGTTTTTTATTCCACCCACACCAGAGCATCGCAAATTAATTATATGAGTTTTCCGTTTCCCGGTAGTGTTTTAATTATGAAAAGCATATAACGCCCTGTTCATATTGAAAAGCGTTACAATTTCATAATTTCCTTTGTTACAGAGTTGAACTTTCTATAGCTTTTGAAAAAAGTGGGAGAGAATGAATAGAGCTAGGTTTACAGCGAGCTGCGCTAAAATGCAACGAAATTTCCTGCGAGACCTATAAATTAAATTCCATCTCCTAACCGAATAAGGTAAGTAATTTTACATTCTCCTGCAATTAGTCTTTGACGGAAAATACGCATGTTAATCCAATTTATTCTTTGCGAAACCGTCATTAATTCAATACTGTTGAGATTTAATTGTCTTTGTTTCCGGTCGGGATTTAAGGGACGGTATGAGATTGAAATTTTTGTTTGAACGTGTTCTATTTGGTTTGGTTTCCATTTTATCTAAGAGAAATAATAAAATCCGCTCTCCTCGTGGCGCACTTGGCAATTTACTGTTCAAATATGTCAGAAATCGACCCTAAAATGTAAAATGTTGAATGCGTTTTAATCGAGGCGGCGCGTTACACAATAGCTGACGGTACAATTTTTTATTACCTGAAAGGGACAAAAGCACAATTTCATTGGAAAATGTATAAAATGCGAAATGAACTTGTCACTTCGTTGGCATGTGTGTTTAATAAAAACTGTTAAATGAACTCGAAACATTTGTAATATACGTGTCCGCGATTTATTATCTTTATTGTTGGCTTTTCTATTCAAGTACCGAAAAAATTAATGAAAAGCTGTATCATTGTTCTCGTTAATAGAAGTCTAACCGAGCTTAATAGAAACTAATAATCTCTATAACACACCATTGCACGAAAATTGAAATTGAAGACCGGACGTTAAGGATTTATCTGATTTGAAACGACAAAGCGCGAGAAGACATGAGAAAAATACAAATTGCTAAAGCAGGAATATTTATCAATGTCGAAATCACACAAAAAGGTAGCAGAATGCGACAAGAAAAAACATGAGGCTTATCAAAAACTCTGGTTGAATTCGTATACAAAGTACTTTTTCAGATGTTGGATGAATGAAAGTCTTTTTTTCTTTAGTACGAATATACTTGGCCATTTAGTCTATCTGCTCATTTTTCCTAGTCCGTGCAGAAAAGCAGGAATAACAATATGACGTATCTGGCTTGATGTTTTTACGTCACATCTCGCAATAATTCAGCTAATTTAAGTTTTGTTAGTTTTACTTGTCCTGTGATAGAAAAATCGACACGGAATTTACGTTTCATCGCATATATTGCAAACAATATTTTATAGTTTATTTATTTTTTTAACTTTGCTAAACTGTCCGTGTTCCAGTGAATAATATTAGTAAGCCACAATAGGGATTATCGTTCTTTCTTGAACACTGACCGATTATTGTACTTTTTCAATTTCAAATCAATTCCTATTCAAATTTTGTGACGACGTCATCAAGATTTTAATACGAACAAGTGTATTAATTTAGCAAGTATTGTAATAAAATAAATTATTTCATTCGTAATTTTTTGTGGCACTCTGTACAAGCAATTTAAAAAATGGAATGTATCAATAAACTACAAGTGTATACTCATCATATTTTGCACATTTTACATAACAAAATTTTGAGCTGACGTCATCAACTGTTTGGAGGAGATGAGTAAATAAATTTTACTAACGGATGTACCTACCATGTCTATAACAACCGTAAATTGTTTGCAAGATTTCAGAGCACTCGGTTTTGTAGTTTGTAATAAGTTAAATTGTAAAATGTTATGCAATTTTGATTTTTCCCAAAACTAACTGATTAATACACCTCAAGTAGAAAATCATGTTTATTTATACAATTGAAACAGGATTTAATTTAGAAAATCTTGATTTCACGACATGAATTTGTCCAGTAGTTTCGTTCTGTCTAATAAAAGCTGCACAGACGATGGAGAGCAGACATCCGGAAACCAGAGACCTACTTTTTCACACTGTCGAAACCGAGAAATGTCTGTAAAACATGGAAGTAGCCGTTCGCTGGATGGACCCGTTACAATACTTCCGTAACTTACGCTTAGAAAAAAGTCAAAGACCAAAGTTGCACGGTTCTTTAAAAACTATATCTTAAACTTACTGTTAATTATACAGTGTTCTATTTTAAGGAATAACACACAGCTTAGTTTTTTTAATAAAACACCCTATATATTTTTACATATTCTCAATAGCCTCTCCTAGGCTTTACAACCATAGTTCACTTTTAAAATTCCGGTGCGACGTTGCCACGTGGTTCCAATTTTCTTAAATTTTTTTGGAAATGGAAGGGTTGACAAAAAATTCTTTGTTATATATTTTCTTGAGAGATAAATAAAGGTACGCGCTTTGATGTGGTACTAATTAAATGAAATTTTAATACGCAGAATGCTTATAAAAAGACTCTACTCCTATTTCTTTTTATTATTTTTATTTCTTAAAAAAGAAAAAAATGCAGAACGTATCAACTTCAAATATAAAAAATACTTAACGAAAAAGAAACATTACAAAAAATAGAATAGGATACACTAATAAAATACAGGGTGTTTGAAAAAACCACAATAAAGCACGTATCTTTATTTATTTCTCCATAAAATAATGTAACGTGTTCCAAATGTTAAAAATAATCCTACTGTGATTCTGTTTTGTGAACCCTTCCATTGCCGAAAAATTTTGAAAAAATTGGAATAACGTGGCAACGTCGCATCAAAATTTTAAAAATAAATTGTGGCTGTAAAGCCTAAGAAGAAGTCAGTCATATGTAAAAAATATTAGGTGTTTTATTAAACAAATTAAGTCGTATTTTACGCCTTAACAACAGAACATGCTGTCTAGTTCAAAATAATTGTAAAATATGATCCTCCAAGAACCATACAACTTTGATCTTTGACTTTTTTTTTTATTTGAAGTATTTAATGGGATATCGAAGAACGCAGACTTAGTGACTTACCATGTCCATCATTTTTAACGTAATCCATATGAATAATGAATTTGTTAAAAATTTTAAATATTACTTTTTACTTTTACTTAGCAAAATTTTGACGTGACGTCATCGAGTTTTTAGAAAGGATGAACACATTTTCCCCTTACGAAAATTTTGATCATTTTTTCCACCACCTTCGAAAATTACCTAAAAAGATTTTTTCAGAAGCTACTTTCAGCTTCATTTCCCGAAAAATTTCTACGATTTTTCCAGAATCGTCCCAAGAGATAGGATGTCAAATTTTGAGATTAAAAAAAAATGCATTTTCAGATCGAATTTTTAGACAACTTTTTCGAAAACTCAGTGTTCCCATACTTTCTTTTATGAAAATTTGACCACCTTAGATTACCCAAAAAGAATTTTTTATAGACTTCGACTTCCCGAAGCTTCTTTTGGTTTCATTTTTTCAAAAATGCTTACGATTTTCCCAGAATCCTCCAACGAAATATTATGCCAAATTTTTTAGACCGAATATTTCTAAAATCTCGTTCCGGATCCATGAACACGCTGTATTTTTGAAACCGCAAGCAGATATATATTCCAGAATTATTTGTAGCTTTTTAGACAACTTTTCTAAAACCCCAGTTTTTCCAAGCAACATTTTGACCTTTTTTCGACCACCTTCGAAAATTAGTTAAAGAGAATTTTTCGAAAATTTCAGCATTCGACTTCCGGAACCTTCTTTTGGCCTCGTTTCTTCAAAAATTCCTTAAATTTTCCCTAAATCATTCGATGAAATAGTATGATAATGTTTTGGACTGCAGAAATAAATTCATTTTTAGATCGACTATTTATAAAACTCATCTCGAATCTATACTACTACTCTCGAACGCTATACTTTTCGAATCAGTACGTCGAAAATTAGGTGTATTATAGAATTTTTTTGACATTTTTTAGACAACTTTTCAGAAGCTCATTATTTTTATTTTCCTTTATGAAAATTTCGATCTTTTTTCGAGACCTTCGAAATTTTTCCTCTATAAGCTTCTTTTGGCCTCATATATTTTTGTGGATTTTTAGCCAACTATTTCAAAAGCTCAGTTTTTCGAGACTCTCACTTACGAAAAATTCGATCTTTCTTTGGTCACTTTTGAAAATTAACTAGAGAAACTTTTTCTTAGATTTCGATCTAAAGAAGCTTTTGGCTTCATTTCTTCAAAAATTCTGACAATTTTCCCAAAATCGTCCAATGAAATAGTATGGCAATTTTTAGGATAAAAAAATACAGGGTGTTCAAAAAATGGCGCACTAATTCTATGACCGTTGTTTAGGACCACTGTTCAAAGGTAGAAGATATAACCCTCACTTTTTTTTCAAAATTTCACCATATTTTAATTCACTATTTTGTGTTTGGGACTTTCATTGACTAAAATAATTTTGGAAATATGTTGTCTTTATTCATAAATTTCTTCATTTTATAACATTACAAAAAACACAAAAGTTGTTTAGGATAAATTTGACGACAGTGGGTAAATTTTCACGTTTTTAAACTAAATAGATATACCTATATTTTGTTTTTATAAGTGAACGTCAAATTGACGTAAAGATTTTTTAATGATTTTTCTCGAACTTAAACTTGTGAATTTAAATTTTTGAACATCCTGTATATATTTTCAGACCGAATATGTATTTCTAAAATTTCGCCCCAGTGAAGAGGACTCAATTTTTCCATATACCCCTATGTGAGAATTTTCACCTTCTTCCCATACCTTCCAAAATTACTTAAAGCAGCGATTTTTTCAGAGATTTAGACCTCCAGAAGCTACGTTTGGCTTTATTTCTTTGCTTATAATTTTTCCAAAATCATCCAAAGAAATAGAATTGCAAATTTTAGGATTTAAAAAAAGAGACTTTCAGACCGGATCCACGAGGACGCTATAAGAAAAATCAGTGTTTTCATACTTCCCTTTATGAAAATTTCAACTGTTCTTTAACCACGTCAGAAGCTTACAAAAAAAGATTTGTTTTTGTAGATTTCGACTTCCGGAAGCTTTTTTGGCTTCATTTCTTCAAAAATGCCTAGGATTTTCTCAAAATCCTCCAGTGAAATATTACGGCAAGGTTTAACAATAAAAACAAATTTTTTAAACCGAATACTTCTTCTAAAATCTCTTTCGAAATTCTTTCGACACGTTCGAAAATTATCTGACAAGAATTTTTTGTACATTTCAACCTTCATGAGCTTCTTTTAGCGTCATATCTTCAAAAATAAATTCAATTTCCCAAGA